TGGCACAGGCAGGAGGCGGAAGCGTCCGCGAAGCGCCAGCGCGCGAGGGAAGCAGAAGCAGAGAGTACGGCCTCAGGACCGAAGAGAAAGAGAGCCGGGGAAGCGGCGGTAAGGGGGAAGAAACGGCGACCGGGCACTGCTGTACAGAAGCGACAGAAGCGAGTAGGGCGGCCGAGGCAGCACTTGTGGCGAACTATGTACCTGGCTCATGTTGTTGCGCCCTGTTTCCCTCCCTGCTGTATGCTATACTCCTTTAGGTATGTCCTTTGTATTGCCTTCGGCCTCTGTGCTGTGTTTCTGTTTTTTTCATGAATGACCTCCCTGCCTACTCTGCTGTGTTGGGTACCTTGATCTCGCTTTGCTGTTGCCTTTGTTTTTGTACGTCTGGCTGTCTGCCCATCTTCCGCCTCTTTGTCCTGTTTGCTCCGTTACTCTCATGCCCTGGTGCGTAGGGCCTGGTGCTGGTACGATACCCTTTGATTTTTCCTTTGGGCGGGTGTGGGAAGCGTCCTCCTTTATTTTTGTTTTTGTTTTATTTTGATCGGTTTCCGAGGGCTCTTTTCTCGAACGGTCGGTGCGATACCTGTTCCTTTCTTTCTATCATTTTGTTTTCTTTTTCCGAGTGGTTTGTACCCTATTTTTGTTTTGTTTCCCCGCGGCGTCGTATGTGCCGGGTTTTGAGACCACGGGCTCCCCATTTTTTGTGGACTATAGAGCTAATGTAAGAAACAACGACCAACAACAACACGTCATCTCGGAGAATAGCTAATTACGCAACACACCATAAAACGGGGACAAGGTCCAAACAGCCCCTGAAACGAGCCTACTTTGTGCCACAACGTGGTGGCATCCCATCACTACGACTTGTACAGGCGTGTGTTGGTAGTGTGTGGATCTACATCTGTAGACTACACACAATGGTGAGGTCATCAAGCAGGGGTACACAAACCAGGCAATGCGGAAGGAAGTTGGAGTTTGGACGTGACCCACCGTCATCTCGACAACAAGCGCGACAGAGCAAGCGCATCATGCTGTACGGGCAAATGCTCTCAGCATGTGTGAATTTTCCGTTCGCCAAAGAGTCCTATTGGATGAGTTTGGGCGAAAACACGTCCGAAGAGGGTCAAATCTGAGCCAAAATTGGGCCAAAATAATATTGCATCCAAGGGTGCATGATTATCATTTCAATTCGTTCTCTACTGGAAGACTAAACAGTGAGCGCCCTCCAGCTTCAATTCCCCGCACGAGAGACTGCCTTGCTTTTCACCGTTTCTCCCACTCATATATCGATTTTGCCGTGTCGTTCCGGTTGATGGTTGGAGCTACGGGATGGCTTCCACCCGAGGAAGAGCACGACTACGGACGCCGCCCTTGCTGGATTCATCCGTGCCCCAATCAGTGGGGTCCTAACCGAGGTGCCGAAGAATATTGAACATTTACTTCTGTCCCGAGTATCTTGAAAAACAGACTGCCTACAAGTACTACAAGTACAATATTCAGTCTAGCATATCCTGTAGGCTATGCGACGCGGTCATTTTAGTCTATTATTGCCAGTTGGCGTTCCTGTTGCGGCCAACTGGCGAGCTGCCGCCGCCATTTATTCATTAACGGTGTGCACGCTATTCTCCACCTTTGCCGAACAGGCCCCAAGGGTTGAATGTCGTTTGAATATATATATGGTCGGGTTTCTCATGGGGTGCACCTGCGGTCTTCCATGCGAATATGCAGCAGATAATAGTTGCATGTAGAAGACTAAATAACACTGTGGTACTCGAATACGATGCTGATGTCTTCGCTGTTGCGAATAAAACTAGGTACCTTTCATCGCCGGAAAAACTTTGACGGCGCTGGCTAGAGGAAGCGAACCCATCACCAACACTCACCAGCTGATCGGAAAGTTTCTGGCACTGTCCCCCCAAAGGGTATGTTGCGGATGCTGCTGCTGTTGTGATCTAATGGAGCCGCTAAAGTTGACAAGCAAGTCGAATTCGAGAGGTGACCACCGGGTGAAAACTTCGCAAGCGCCACCCTCACAATGACCTGGGACCAAGTCAAGGTCGGGGGTGGGTCAGGTGTGAGTACCCGTAAGTGAAGTCGGCATTGTTGCACCGATCGGTTCACCAATCAGCTACTTCATTAGAATATGCGGAGCGCGAATACATACATCGAAACAGTTTTCATAAGAATGCGCCATCGGCGAAGGTGGACACCACTTGTCGATTGTCACATGGCCTAACACCTCTGATGTAGAAGTATTTCTCTGCCCAGCTGTGACATCCATATACTGTTCCTAGTCGAGGAATTCAGATGAAAAGTACCGTGCTTTCAATTTTCGAACTCCCTATGGTGATTTCGGGCGCTACCGTACTGCTGTATGCAAGCCGAGCTGCGTAGAGCACTGCGACCGGTTCTACAAATGGCTCCTGGGCAAGAACATTGCCGGCTGCGTGGTCAACAACATTGTCGAGGCGATTGCCGAGAAGGTTGAAGTTATGATGGCTGGTGAGTTTTGGAGTACATCCATGACACTCCCCGCGCCGACGCACCCTATCTAAAAAACGTTGCACGTTAGCTACTGTAGCCTGTCAGACAATCATGAGCAATCATGGGTCATTGGCACTCATGGGCAATTCAAGCATTCGTCATTTGTTCCGCTGCGCCCAACGCCCCCCCATCTTGGTCTCTCTCTCTGTCGCTCTCTGTCCCTCTCTCTCTCTCTCTCTCTCTCTCTCTCTCTCTCTCTCTCTCTCTCTCTCTCTCTCTCTCTCTCT